ATAGAATTGCATTGTCTGTAAAATTATAGATTTAGTCTGAAAGGATGTTAGAACTAAGTCTAAGAGAGAGTTGCTCTATATATTATTAAAGACGAGACGTTATACTATATATTGCCTTAGTAAAATATTCAATATTTATTGCTTTATTAAATTTTAAAAACTGTGATCAGAACTTTTGGTATACCCTAAGTATTATTCTATTGAAAGATTTCTAGCCTCGAAACTTTCTCCCTGATAAGGATGCAGCCTTCTGTCTACGATTCTAAACTAGTAAACCCATTTATCTGAATAATTTTTTCAACTAAACAAATAAGCCATATGTCAAAATAAACGCAACTGAACTTAGACATATCGTATAGATTAAATTCAAACGTAAGATGGATCGTTTTCTCTCAAAATTAGGAGAACATGACGGTTTAAAAGAAAAGAATCTAACGATATATCAAACAACGCAAAGCTACAATGAATATAATTGGATCACACAGTTGGTTGCTCGATAGTTAGACTAATAATATTTCAAACATCGACTACGAAATTATGCAAGCAATTTAGCAATTGAGCATGAAATAAAGGGAACTGGCAGTGAATAATTATAATAAAAAAATTAGCTGATTTAGAATGAACGTCTTATCGATCACCATTATCAATCAGCGCACACTTTATTCTTCGTCTCCCGTAAATCCATCAAACCTAGGATATGACTTATCAGTAGTGAATGACATCTGCACCCAAAACTACACATGCTGCTCTTCAAATCTTTGCAATACATGCTCAAACCAAGAACGTTATTACACAATAGGAAACATAACTTACTGTTTACCTACATCAACTATCGAATCACGTTTCACAAGCTCAGGCGACATGCTAAAATCAAGTAAACTGGCTTGAGAGCATCTGGTTTATGCCTTTGGAATATTACTACTAAAGCGAATTCCATTTCTGTGTAAGGAGAAACTGACAAGAATTAAGTGAAGAATTATTTACAAAGAGACACATCGTGTGACCGTATAAATGTTATGCGGCTTTCTTGTAGCTTTCTGTATCATCACCACATTCAACAATAAAACTTCGCGGTGACCAAACGCTTTATGCTATTCTCTTTACTCAGTTCACACTGTTTATTACAACTTCGTGTGTAATAGAGGGTGTGGATGTGGGTGTATCCTTTTAACGCACAACCACACATCCACAGTAGCAAGCAAGCAAGACTCAGATTGACGCTCTGGAAAAGATTCAATGAAATGAAAGAAAATGAATCGCCTTCTTTCTCACAGAACTTTCTCTAGTTGTTGATTCAATTCAACTGACACAGCTTGAAGGTGATTGCACACACAGAGCAGCTTATACAACAAAGTGATCGTTGCAGCACATAATTTTTCATTTTCGTTGCGTTGCCATTCAAATTGCGTCTTTATGCTGAGAAAACGTTTGTAAACGTATAATCAATACTGACTATGTTCCATCATTTTGTCTTTTATGACTGTGACGAGAGTTTTTCGATATGGATATACAACTCTGAATTGCAGCTAGACACACTCAAGAATCGAGCTATGAGTGCGGATGTCCCAAAGGAAGTCGCTATGGGTATGGCTACTACTTGGTGTGTATATTTCCTTCATGCACACATCATACAGACGCCGCATCTACACCCATACCCTATTCATCACAATCAGTAACAAATGTGCATGAAGTAAACTGTAGATAATAAACTATTTAAGTTTTAAACAAATAATATCAGAATAAAATGTTCGCACAAGATATTATCACATTGTTCTTGCTTTGTATGAATATGATAAATATCATATTTGATTGACTAGCAAACGATTATTTATTCCATTAAGTTTATAGTTGAAAAATACGCTTTGAAGTTTTTGAAGAAAGTTTATGATCAATGATTTTATTGAATTTTTTTAAAATAAAATGACTGGATTTTGTTCCAGACCTTTTGTGAAACACATTTTTTTTTATTTGTCATTGGATACTTCTATTACCCTCTCTAACAAGTAGATTTTATTTATTTGAAGTTTATAATAAAAACGTTAAATGAAGATTATTGTAATTATTATTATTAGCTTACTTATAAAATGAGAAATGGTTAATATTTAAAAAAAATAAATGTCAAATAAGCAAATACTGTTAGTCATCACAGTAGAGCGCGAGAAGAATTTTATCAATTGAATCAAACATCGGATACTGTTGGCATAGTAATACGTTCACCGGGTTTAAATGGAGGTAAACCACGTGCAGGACAACCAGCACATCGAAAAGCATCACCCAAATAACACTAAACGAAATAACATTTTTAATAATCAAAGGTGTGACTGTATGTTTCAGTAGAAAATTTTATTCCCAATAATAAGATCTCTAAAAACCCCAAAACTGAAGTTTTTCAGATCCTGAAATTTGCAGGTGAACTTCTGTTCTAGTTACCGAAAGTAATAGAGCAAACAATACTCTACAAAATAAAATGCCTTTCAACTCTCTACAACGTTTTTTGATCGAGATACATCAATCTCACAGAAGGTATGAAAGTCATTTTTTCTAATATTGTCTATGAAAACACCATTTGTGTGCCTTTCTTAATGAAAATCTTCGGGTTCCGGTTTGAAATAAAAATTTCTGCTGACATCACTATTTGGATTCTCATTAGCTTTTACAGTAGCAGCAAAAAAATTAATATTAAACTTAATCGAATAATTTCAAGAACCAAGATGTTGCTCAATACATACATTTCCACAAGAAGATTTGACATTTTCCTGTGCTTGTGTTTGCTCTTCTTGTTCAAGTACTTGTGCTAAACCACAAGTACAATTTTTGCAGGCTTTTCGATCATCAGCTGATGTTGTACCACAAGCATAGTCTATATTAAACAGATTCATATTACTATTGATTATGCTCAATAAACGAAACCAGTGTTATACTATCCAATAAATGTATTTTCAGTAAAATGATTTATTTATCTGTATATTATTGATGATACCATTTTAAACTACTAGAGTTTATTATTGGTCAGCAAACTACGTGAATGATGTAACAGATTAAGTTATCGTCATTTTTGACATTATTATACGAAGAAGACATCAACCTTATTACTTTTCTCATGTTCATGCCTTCTAACTGTTAATGATCAGACAAGCATACTCTATCGAATTTGACTTCTAGAGACCCAAGAAGATTTTATCCTAAGCTTCTACACAAAAAGCAATCGAAGTCTATTAAATGAGTATTATCAAACGACAATATACATTTAGATAATAATAATAGTTTAACTTCATCCTTAAATCTAAAACAATTATGTATGACAAAAACTTAATTTCATGTCTTTTGTAAAACATACGCTATTTTAAAATCCTACGAATTGAAACCATTTCATATTATATCCTAAAAAGTATTCTGAAGGTTCTATCATGGCATGTTGTTCATATTTTAACATGAGACTTACTTTTAACATCAGGTTTCCCTCGATCATCGTCATCAAGTAAATCATCAGTATCAATAACATCATCATCATCTTCAACTGTCCATGTTTTTTTTCCTCCACCTGTTGTTGATACTTGTCTTATTAGACGAACACCAGTTCTCCGTAATGGTACTGAATAACCAATATCGAATGCAGGTTTTTGACATAGCCATAATGAACCTCGTCGTTTAACATCCACATTTTTATTTTCAATTAAAAATGATGAATTTGAATCTAATGGATTACAACTGCTAAATCCACACATTTTAAAATGATCTATAGCTTGTATTTGTTTAGCATGTTCAATATGTGTTATAAGATAACCATTTGGATGAAGTAAACGAAAAAATTCATTTAATAAATCGATATTCGTTGGTGTATCAGTTTTACTAATTAAATCAAATAGAATAATATCAAATGATGCTGCTGCACGTCGAGCTGTTGTTTTTTAAACAGAAACGAATTCATTTTTTTATTAAAATGACTTCTATTGAACTTACATTCGAACAACATTTGTACGTTTTCAAAAGCAATATGTGCTTGTTTTGATTTTGTTTGTATTACTTCTCGAAAAGGTAGTAAATTTTCTGAATTGATATCATCAACCCAAACAACAAGAATACTTTTAGCATGAGCAAAAATTTCGTTCATTGGAATATTTTATTAAGAAAATAATCTAAAAATTATTTTAAAATTCTATCAATACACTGAATACGGAAATCTATTCGAATGGTTCTAAAGTTGTGTCTATTTTGAGTGAATGATATATCAAACATTTGTATGCATAAAAATTAGGATTGTATCTAATTGTTAGGTATGTTTTTTTTTAGACATTCAGTAAAAACTTAATTTAAGCATAGTAAGTAGTTAGAAAAGCTTAGTGATTAATTAAAAAGGGTGTGGGTGTCAGTCTTTTTGACAGTATCACCCAAATCACACATCACACACTCACCTCCATATCCAATACTACAGCCATAATCACACTCAGTACTCACACATAACACTGAGCCACACATTCACACCCAAACCTCCCTGAAGCGTGATACCTATTTTATTTTTAGCAAATCTGAAGTTGCGTACATATGATTCAATAACACACAGCAGCGCATGAGAATGAGGATGGCATGTGAAAAATGAAAATTCTCCCCGAGAAATACATTCGTATATGATCTAGCTGATAAACGGTAATTGAATGTTGACATTCACATATTGAATTTATCGAAATGTTACTCAAAGACGAAAATTATATCCACTGCCAAATAACCATAGTTGCAGTAGACAGAAGCTCCTAGATAAGGAAAATTGATATGCATTATGGGAATTTTTTAAGCGACTACTACTTGCTCTCTTTATTGTTAATTTTATTTTTCAGCATAATGATCAATTTACACTGCAGGTAATTGTCTTTGGATCAATTGTCGTAGATCCGGATTTAAGTTCGGTACTCGGCATTAAAGAGCAAAAGTTAAAATTACCTTGTTCTTATAATTTTGACCAGTATTATTTATTATTGATGAGATTAGTTGTCCCCATGTTTTGTCTCTCCATTACTGCAAGATCGCAGAATGCAAGCTGCTTGCGTATTCTTGAATTATTTAATTTTTAATCAAGTGTCTTTCAAGTCTTGCATCGGCATTAGTGTTAGTTATTGGTCATATTGATACCATATTTCATAAGTATATAAATTATGGTACTCGAACGAATTGTAATTGCCTGTAAAAGAAAATTATCAGACAAAATTCATAATATCAAAAGCCTAAAATAATCAATCACAATCAATATGCTGATCAGTACAATAAATATATAACACATCAGATTATTCAGACAGGGATAACTATAAATATATACATCATATCAGCATTGATCGGATTTCGAAAATTATTGAAAAATCATATAAAACAAATACGATTTTCTCGTTTTGTTTATTTCAAACAGAAAAGAACGCATAAATTTAGTCCATATTAAAGAAAATGAAACACACACAAACGCGTACAGTACGAAGAATGATGAAATCAAACAAGAAAGAAACAAGAAGAAACAGGAAATGTGGGTATATTGTTAAACCCAAGAAAAAAAGAAAAAAAACCAACACGAAGACAAAGCAGGTGAATGATAGCCAAAGAAACAAAAATATGTTTATATTCGTTCGATTTTAATAATCAGCACCAATGCAATGTCTCGGGTTTGTTTCTTATTAAATCATCTAGATACGGACAAAAGAAAGAGAAAAAAAACAAAAAACTGAACTAGATCATCTATTTACACTCATACAGATGAAGAGAATAAGAAAGAACAGAAACCAAAACTGAATTTAAGAAAAAAAGAAAATGACAAACCGATCATGTTCACTTTGTTGGTATTTTTGTTTTGTATATACACGCAGATTTTGTTTAAAGCGTCTGTACGCGTATGTATATAAAGGAAAAAATATATAATATGTATAAATATAAGATGCTATTTTTCTATCAATTTGAACTGTCATTCATTAATAATTGAGCTGTTCGAGCTGATGCAGTAGTTGTCGAACGTTTTGGATATGAACGAAGATATTCATCATCACTTAATTGATTTACATCTGGTCGATCACGAACATTATAAGTTAAACAACGTCTAATGAATGCCTTAAGAAGAAAAAAAAACAATATTTTTTTGTCAAATTAAGAAAGTCAAGATGTTTTTTTTTCATACTTTTGCTCCATCGGATATGATTGGTTTAGGTGGAAATTCAACTTCTTTGGCTTTTAATATTGTTTGATTTTCTAAGATTGCTGCTTGAGATTGATTATGACCATAAGGTTTTCGTCCGTATAAACACTGAAAAAAAATACAACCCAAACTCCATACATCGACTTTTGAAGAGATTTTTGGAGGATTTGGTCCTTGAACAAATACTTCCGGCGGAAGATACCTACAAAAAACAAGCTGTTAGAATTATTCCTATGGGTTTAAAATATGAAACACGATAATAGTTACTCTTGCTAATCACATCATGATTGGTTTATTCTATCTATTTGGAACACATCTCTCTATCATTATTTTACTTAATCCTCAAGATATGCAATAAGGAAAATAATTCTTGATAGAAGACCAGCCTGGTGCAGAGCTCTCGGTACACACTGTCTAATCACATATAAGCTATGAGGACAGTATCCATCAGATACTTGTCAAATAACTCAGCCATGACGACCAGGATCTGTTGATTTCATCTGTCACGGTCTTTAGGGAAAGAGGAGGTCTGCCTTATATACTGTAACACTCCCTGAAGATCGTGTTTCACAAAGATGTTTATTTGAAAATAATTTTGTTTTTGTATATTTACCAATATGTTCCAGCTCCTTGAGATGTTAAATCCATTCCATGTTCAGGATCATACGTATCTTCACACATTTGTTTACTCAAACCGAAATCTGTTATTTTGATTTCACCACTACTTGTACCAGTACCCAACAATATATTAGCAGGTTTTAAATCAAAATGGATCACAGGTGGTTTTATACCATTATTTAAATATCTTAAAGCGCTTACAGTTTGCATAACAACTGAACGTGCCTCTTTTTCAGGAATATATTTATGTTGTTTTAAGAAAAAGTCTATATCATTTCCTTCGATATATTCAAGAACAGTACAAAATCTAAAAGAGAAACAAAAAATAAATAAACATAACAATTAATAGAAGATTTTATTTTTCGTCTTACGAATCTGTATCGATTTCGAATACATCATAAAGACGAACGATCCGAGGATGATCCAGTGTTTTAAGAATATCACATTCGCGTAACGCATGTCTAAAAATGAAATAAAAAATAAGAAATTCTTGAGAAGAATTGAATTTACTTTATATAATTTGCTTTCTTTTCTTCTTTCCATTCTTTATTAAGTTGATGAACTTTAACAGCAACATAACGTTGTTCTTTTAAACAGAATGCCTTTAAGAAAAATATAATATATGATTTTTTTTCTACATATTTAATGCATCTTACTTTGTGAACTTCACTAAAACCACCTTTACCAATGAGACTTAAAAGTAGATAACGATCATTGAGTACAGGATGGTCTTGGAATCTAAAATAATCATGTATATATAGATATTACGAAACGTTTAGAGTAAGAAAACTAGAAGAATAGATTTTTGTTCCATATCATTGTCGTAATAAGAACATAATACTTAAAGAATCGATGGAAATTAATCGAAGATCAGCAGAAAAAACATATTTTTTGGATCGTCGCCTTCAAAAATCGATACTAGGCCGGACAATTCAAATTGCACGAATTTTTCAGTCCTATATCAGAATGTTTTCAGGATATACTCAAGAAATGAGAGTCACAAGTAACTTATTTATTCTCTGTGAGATTTCGTTCTATATATTTAGTTCTTTTTTTAAAATTCTTAGTTTTTATGCAGAGAAAAATTTGTATATATAATACAATAGCTTAATTAACACAAAACATTCTTTCCCGCACAGAAAGAAAAGTGATTGACTGCAATGAAGCTCTTCGCGGACTTCAAGATGTGCGATCAGAAAAATATGAACAAAGAAACAAGGACGTGCAAAATAAAAAAAACGACATTGTTTGTGACAGATCCAACCTCAATCTATCCTCCCATGAATTTATCTTGATTCCGATAATTCTGATGGATATAGACACTTTTTATTAGGAGCACTTTACAAAGTTCGTATGCGATCATATTTTGACAGTTAATATATTGTAATACTCCAACCATCGATCTCCATGATCGTATACATCACTGATAGATTTTAGTGAGACTAGCAAAAACCTAAAAGGGCTTGTTCCCACAGGTCTTCAGCAGCAAGTTATGATCGGTTTACTAGATTTTGGATCTAAAATTCAATATCTTGACGAAGGAACCTGTGCTACTGGGTCCTCCGCAGATACCTAAATATGAATCGGAAATTCAGTAAGCCGGTCGAAACCCAGCGCCAAAGGACCATGGGGGCGAACCTTCTTAGTCTTTCATTATTCTCACTGAGACCTTTCTGTGAATCCAGCATGAGCGCAAACGAGCGGTGTCACTTGGGATAGTTCTTTCTTACGCACTAAATGAATGTGAATATGAATTTGACGAATCATAAATTATTATGCATAAGTTGTCCTAGCACCTATTTTAAGTTTAGAAACCATTATTTTTATAACTTCACATTTAATATTTATCCATGTTACTCTATTAGATAAAATGCTTTGAATACAAGTTTGTTTTTTCTTACCTGGAATGGTCTTCGTTATAAATGCGTTTTAATTCACGTATATGTAGATTTCTTTCTCGTTCCAGTTTTTCATATTCGATTTGAAGATCCATTTCTTCTTTTTTTAATGATGCTTGTCGTAAACGTAAGATTTCATCTGATTCATTCCATTCACTCAATAATACTCTACAAGAAGATAAAAGAATAAAGAATTAATAATGAGCTTTTTTTTCTTAAAACAAACTTACGCTTTATTTGCATCATTAGTTGTTTTCATACCATCATTACTGCTTTCATCTTGTGGTACAAAGGCACCTGTACGATCTTTCGTTCTTGATTTTGAATTAGGTGTTTTAGGTGGTTTTTCTTTAACTTCACAAATCGGCCGACGTCGTAATAAATTACGACGTTCACGATCAAGTTCTTCGCGAGCACGTTGTATCATTT